TGCATAGTCGTATACCTCCTTGTCAGAGTTTGCAGAAAAGAGTAGAACAGTATCATCAGCATAGGATATGATCTTTCCACCTTGTAAATCTAGGTTACAAAGGTCATTAATGTAAATCAGAAAAAGTGTTGGTCCTAAAATACTTCCTTGAGGAATTCCAAATGAAGTGCACTTCAGATCAGAACTGTGAATGTCACCTATTTTAACACATTGGGATCGGTCCTCCAGGTAGTTTTCGAGTAATTTAAGTTGTACGCCCCTTATACCAAGCGATTCAAGCTTCTGTAACAGCACAGGGATGTAAACTGTATCAAAAGCCTTCGCTAGGTCTAGAAAAATACCCACAGTTTTGTTACCCTTGTCTAGTTCCCTTGCTACAAAATTCGTAAGGTGGTGCACGGCGTCAGATGTCGATAATTTAGATCTAAAACCGAACTGTGTTTTAGATAATATGGAATGTCTCTCCAAATACAAGACAAGTCTATTGTTAATAAGTTTTTCTAATATTTTAGATATTGCTGGCAGTAACGAAATAGGTCTATAATTAGTTATTTGTTCTTGGTTACCAGATTTATGTACCGGGACCACAACAGCTTTTTTTTTAAACACGTGGGGAATATTCCTTTTGTTAAACATTTTTGCAAAATGAGCGTAAGCGGTGAAAGTAGAATGTGCCTGAATTGTTTTAGTATTTTGTTAGATATGTTATCACAACCAGTAGCACTATCGCTTTTTAAGCTTACAATTATTCTTTCAACCTCACTTTCATCCGTATCTAATATTACAAATGATCCCAGAGACTTACTACAGATGGATTGAGAGCAACGTGGTTGAGTAAGCGGAAAACTCTGGATTTTTTGTGCCAGATTTTTACCTGCATTAACGAAAAATTCATTTGCTTTGTTAACAGCAATACGATCAGATGATTGGCTTTTTAATAATCCTGAAGATGATTTATGCTGTTTCGATATGTAGGTTACCTTTTTTATATATTTCCAAACCTTTTTACTGTCTGTACCAGCTTTATCCAATTCTTTTTTATCATAACAGCTTTTAACTTTTTTAAGTAGGTCGTTACAAAAGTTCCTATATCTTTTGTATGATATTTGTAGAATTAAATTAGCTGGATTACTTTTTGCCTTCATATGTAGTTTATCCCTATGACGCATACAGCGAATAAGTCCTGGTGTAATCCAAGGTTTGATATTGTAATTTTTACTATTTAATCGCATGACCTTGCTATTACTTAATATTGATTGCTGTACATTATTTACTAAGTAAGACATACAATAATCCGCGTCATCAGAATTATAAACTGGGTTAAAGTCAATGTTGCATAAATCTTCAAGTTTATTTATATTAATTTTAGAAATTATTTGCGTGCGAGTTGAATTAAGCAATTTACAATTTAAGGTTAGTAGGGCAGCTTTATGATCGGTTATTGTAGAATTAGTAACTAATGTTATTGATTTAAAAATAGATTTAAGCATAACATGGTCTAAGCAAGAGCCGCTTTGATGTGTGGGGAGAGTGTGGGCGGGTAGTAGTCCATGAAAAGAGCATAGGTTTAAGTATTCTTGCGCACAGGAATCGATGCTATGTGGGAGAATGTTTATGTCTCCTATTAATACTACATTTTTAAAAGTTGATAAAAGTTGTAACATATCGTTAAGTGAGTCAGTAAACATTTTGGTATTTCTAAAAGAGGGGGGTTTGTACAATGCTAATATTGCAATGTCTGTTCCAATTATGATTAGGAGCCGATTGCAGTCCAACATACTTGGTTCTTCAACCGAGATATTTAAATTATTCCTAGTATAAACCACTATACCGTCGTTCTGGTTGTAATTTTCTTTAGAGCTGTATAAGCTATAGCCTGTCATGGGAGGTAGATTTCACAGCCAATGTTCATTCTATGCTGAAAAGTACTAAAAGCGTCAACATTTTTGTAAATGCTGCGTATGTTTTGTGTTAGTATGGAAAGAGGATTGTTAAAGGGTAATAAATATTGTCTGCACATTTCAACTTCACAAGACTGAATCTGATACAGAGAAATTGTCTAGATCGCGAACTAAACTACCACTCATAGTGATAGTTTAGTTAGATAGTTTTAGGTTAAAAATTTATTTTCGCCAATTTTTTAACATGACTGCCATATAAGTGTTTTTTTCGTTAAAAATAGCTGCCGAAAGAGATTTGCTCTGTGATTCGACTGAAAATTGGCATGTGAAGGCCACTAGAAATGCCGGATAATAATTTGTGCTCAAAATTTGTTTTTCGCTATTTTCAAATATGGCCGTCATAGAAGCGTTCGTTGGCGGCAGGCAATTTATTTATGTAACTTGCTTTGCTCGGACTGAAAATTAGCACGAAAAGATTTCTAAGATTGTTTGATAATAATTAGTGGTCATAACATATTTTTGTAATTTAGGTTATACGGCTTAGATATAGCGTTGTTATATTTCAACCATATCTGTTAGATTCCATTTTCTTGTAAACTATGCCAAAGTATTAGTAGAAATATTTAGGGGGAAAAAATGCTAAACTACTGCCGAATTTCCTGTACTATGAATACCAAAACAACGATAATCCAGAATACTCAGAACAAAACCAACTTAGAAATGTTCGTTTCTTAAATTAGCCCAAATCGGGAATCGACCTCCTCATCAAGCGCCCATAGTACTAACTGCTGTGCCACCGAAGAGCATGAGCACACCCCGTAAACTGAACCCGACCACGCGCCCACCGTAGGTGGGGTACCGGGCTCGTATTATAATAAAATTCGATACTACTATGACACTCATACATATTAGAAACATTGTGATGCAATATTCTGCTATAAAACAATTAAAATAAAATTTGACAAAGAAATTTTGTGTCATGTGGACTTTAGTGAAAATTATTTCTTTATTATTATTAGAAGAAATTCGGTCATATCACTTCGGTGGCAGTAGAGGACGAGTCTCTCTACATACTTGTGTACTGTATTACTTTGATTGTCAAACAGGTCTTCTTTCAAGTAAGCCTTTCTGTACAATGAGTCAATGCCTTAACCATGATGCTTCTGCAATATGAGTCCAGCCAGTATCGTAATAGATTTGTCTTTTACATGTTAAGGAAGCTTCATGATCAAGTTCCAAGCTTAGAGCTTGGGACTACCAAGCTGGGTATGGAAAAGGAGCCCCAGACGGAATCGGCGCAGTGGTGAAAAGGACAGCCGACGTTCCTTCGAAGATTTTGTCGGAGTTGTCCAGCAAAACGTGCGATTTGATGTCACTGTAATTACTGAAGAAGAGATAACGAGAAAGAAATTTCCAGCAAATGTTCCCGGTTTCAAAGGAACAACCAAAACACATCAAGCTATTTGGTCTTCGTCTTCGCCCTACAGCGTTGCGCTAAGGAGTCTCAGTTGTTTCATTTGTCGAAGCAGCTACTTGCCATGCGAACACCACCTCTCCCGCACAGCTTGGAAAACTTTTGGCAATGCTACTGTAGTGTACCATTCTGAATTAACAGACCTACTATTTCTTAACATTGACGTCGACAAATGTCCGCTCAGAGAAAAAAAACTAGCTACCATTTTTTTGCCAACGTTTCGAGGTCTTTGCAACTTTGTTGGCAATTGTCCCTCTGCGAAGACCCACACCGACGACTGCTTCTTGCTTTCTGGATCATATTGATAGATCCATGTTTCATCACCAGTAACGATTTCTGAAACACGTCTCGATGTCCCGTTTTCGAAACGTATAAGTATTTCTCGGCACCAATCCACGCCAGCCTGTTTTTCAGTACCGGGGAGCAATCGTGGGATCCATCAACAACAAAGCTTCCTCACTCCAAGACGTTGATGCAGGATAGTATTGACGCTTCCCGAACTAATGCCTAGGATCTTCTTAATGTACGTGTACGTGATTCGTGGGTCTTCTCGCACCAACATTTCAGATGTCCACACATTTTCTGCAGTAACTGCTGTTTCCGGGCGTCCGCCTCTTAGGTCATCTTCAAGGTTAGTTTTGCCTCTTTTAAATTCCTTAAATCACCTAAAAACTGTTGCACGAGAAGGAGCAGAGTCCTCTAATGCTGACTGCAAACGTTCCAAACTCAATTGTTCAGTTAAACCACATTTAAAATCATAGAAGATCATAGCACGCAAATGTTCACGGTTAAGATCCATTATTGCAAAGAAAAAGCGCGGGAAGCGTTGTAGTAAAATGACTAACAATGTCATTTTTTTTTAAATTTAGCTAAATTGCTTTTGGTGATCTATTTTTAAATAAATTTGCTTTTTAAAAACATATAATACGGGTGGGTCCCATTTTTAAATTTCGAGCATCTCAAAACTTATTGAGTGCCCTACGTAACAAACATATTTAAACATTCAACATTAACTTAAAGTTGCAGCCTTGCGGCTTAAAATAAAATATTATTAAAAAAAATAGGAAAATCGTTAGAGTAGTTTTCTCTCAATCAGGTTCAAAGTTCAGACTTACAATTTTCGCAAATTTGCTAACTTTTTTCCATCCTCTAAGGACGAAACTGCAACATCGCATAGGTTTTGCGGTGTCTGTTAGAGGGTTAATACAAAAAAAAGAATACTTATATATGGAATGTAATTCCATCCTAGCAATGATATTATACTGCGTCATCCTAGGATACACTGGATAACAGTTTTTTTTTTGCAAGTTTGTGTGGCGCACGACGACATATTTCGTGGAGTACTTGCTCAGGCTACTTTTTCCAAATTCTCTAAGAGTACTTGACGCGGTGAATTCGATAATGGAAATGAACAAAAAAATCGATTCAAAAGTAGTTTTTGTTATGCAGTGGTATTTTTTACTTCGACAAATTTGTAATTTGATTGCCTATTGTTGTCACCTCCCGAGTTATATGTTCTAAGACCTAAACACTAAAAACGGTTTGAAGCGGAATAGTTTCTTTCGGTCTTCATAGGACAAAGGATTCCTTAAAGTGTTTAATAATAAAAGCATAATCAATTCTATAGGCAGGTATTTTATATTTCTAAACATCAGGATTAATTTAACATAATGTCAGTACTTAATGAACTTTCCCTATTACCCATTACCAACATAGTATGAACTTTCATGCTAAATGGCTGGACTGCAGGGAACGAATTTTATTTCTCTTCATCCTTATCCTTATTCTCCTTTGACTTCGGTTTGGCGCTGCGTTCGCGGTCGCGGGAGCGATCTCGATCCCGTTCCCGGGACCTCTCGCGGTCGCGAGAACGTTCCCGCGGTCGCGGCGACCGCGACCTGGACTTATGACGACGTGATCGTGAGCGCGACCGCTCTCGTCGATACGACCTGAGTACATATAAATTTTAGTGTTAATTTTAAAAATCACATAGCCAGTCGAAGGTTCTTAAACTATGTTTGTATTATGACGTCACACATTCATGAGTAAATTAATTTTTATGTTATGTCCTCAACATATCAATCTGAGTGTTCAATGTGGACTTAGGTGGTGTGTGCATACATGCTATTTGCTGTTTATTATAAATGGAAATAAGTCAATAACTAGCGTAACGTTTTTCCAAACTCTGTTGGGCGGGTGTGTGTATATCAAAATTTGTAATTTTTCATTGACTTACAAATAAATGGACGTAGGGTCCGCGCTAAAAAGTGTCCGAACTTACAGGGTGTTAAAATCGTATACAGGGCGTCAATCACGCTTTAGTCTTCGTTTGTTCAACTGACAGCGCGCTTGTCAATGATGCCGTATAGTGTAGTAAAACCTTGTAAAAATTACTCAACTAAAGCGAAAAAACACGGTGGTATACCATATTTTCAGTAAGTACTACATTGTGTTATAATAGTTATCATTTAAAAGTGTTATTTTATGCACTAGTATATATAGTATTTCATTTATATTTAAATTAATCGGAAATATAAATTACAAAAGCAATCAACATAATCAAATAGCTGTCTCTTTCCGACTCATTGCTTGCGTAAAAGACTGAACGAGACCCATCACGTCAATTCCAATTGTTTGAAACACAAGCGTTTGAAATATTTAGAACAACAATTTCATAGTCGCTTAGATGTTAATGTTATTACTAAAATATTTTTTAATACATGTTAGTAATACTTTCAAATATTATTGTACTTTTTTTACGGCTCGGGGTTACGAATCAGAAGACCGAAAATACATTTGCCCGAAATAACTTTTGCATGAATTTCCATAATCCCGAACATTGACTTATGATCCCGAAAGTATTTTTTTAGGTTTTTCGGAAAAATATGTGTATGGGCTACATTTATTTCTCTCGTGAGTTTGGGTGTAATTTGTGGTTGTCTATTTGTGTGTCCATGGCACCCGCGACACAGGGTTTCTCTAATGCGGGGCAATATTGAGTGTGTGCGTTATTATAATTATTATTATTAATTAGCACCTAAGTGTTTATTTTGGAAAACGTTTCTCTTGCGAAATCAATATCGCACATTTTAATTTTGTAATTATCTCACAACGGCAAATACCCTACTACCGTCATAGCCGTACTTTTTCATGCACAAGAAACATTTGCAAGAACTATGAGCAGTACGACTATGCCTGTTGACGGAATCAACCGTCGTCAGTGATAAACCGTAATAATTGTATTGAAGCAATGTAAGCACTACGGCATATAGAAAAGTGGTGACGTTTTTAAGCGCAGTATAATTTCAGTACTATGCACGAACGGGTTAAGAAAGTGGTAAGAAAAGAAAGGAAACCAGAGCTGATGCAAGCTTGATAAAAGACCATAATATTAAAGCTTCGGTATGTGATTACATCAATGAGTGAACAAAAACACTGCATAATAATACAAATAGTAACAACCTTGATAGCCTAACGGTTTGCACTGTGGGCACTGGAGTTCCCGGGTTCGATACAGGTAAGATCAATTTAACAAATTAACTTTTCTAAATGGTTCTGATCTTGGTATTCTATTGTAAGACCACCTGATTTGAAGACACCTGGTTTGAAACTAGGGAACTCTCTGCACATAATCCCCATGAGTATCAGAGCAACAGAATCCCAGAGCAGAACCAATTTACAAAAGTTCATTTCCCAAATTGGTTCTACTGGGAATCGACCCTGGGACTAAGAACGATGGAATTTATTACGGGGCATACGTCAGAACCCAGGCCAAAATAACTTTCGAAAAGTTCACATTTAGTTTTATAGTTGACTGAGCTGATTTTTACGGTTTTAAAAAAAATTCTCGAATAACTCGAGAAATCGGGTACGAGATTACTCGAAACTCAAGAAAAAAAAGTCAGACACCCTAGCTCGTAATAAATGGCATTGTATAAAATTCAACATTTACGTATAAAATTTATTTATAAATAATAAAGGCTACTCCATTATACCTATGTTCAAGTAGTTTTCACTAGAAGCTACATATGGTGCATTGTAGTAAGTTTCCAGTAGAAGCTGAATATGGTGTTTTTTTGCGCCTTTCAATTGTTGCAAGCAAAATTAGGCAGTACTGCAATGACATTACAATTTAAATTCAACGTTTTAGCTTTTTATATTCCTTTACATGTCACTACGTTTAAATAGGTTGACTTGGGACATTTTTTTCGTGGTTTTTGTATTAGACCCGTCGCCCATTTATTTGTAAGTCAATGTAATTTTTAAAGCAGATCTAGGTAAACTATTAAAAAACAAATGAAACTGCGCTACTCACTTCCGTTCTCTAGAATCAAAGACAAAACATACTAATTGTGAAATGAGTTAGTGCGACACAAGAACCAAATAAGAACTAGCATTGTCGTGAAAAAATTCTGCACTTACTTTTCTCTTATTCTATCTGGTTTTATGGATCGGGAACGTTCGCGATCCCTGTCTCTCTCCCTTTCCTCCTGCAATAATTCGCAATCGTTATAAAAGAAATAATATTTTCAAGTATACTACACTACTTTGATTGTAAAGATATATCTTAAACCATGCAGTAGTAGTGAACTTACATCTTCACGTCTATCCCGTTCCCTTCTGTCCCGCTCTTCTCGTTCTCTCATTCTATCTCTATCACGCTCACGCTCCCTGTCTCGCTCTCGGTCACGCTCCCTGTCATGCATGTGCATGGGCGGATGCGGACGGTAAGGCGAGCCGTAGGGTGGCGCCGTCATAACGTGGGGCGGGGCGCCCATGTGTGGCGGAGGGCCTAATGGTGGCGTAATGCCCATAGGTGGACCCATCACCGGCGGCGGCATCGGCCCAGGGCCAGGCGTCAGCTCCTTTATCTCGCTTGGCGCCCAGCCTGTTGGCTCGGGATGACCTGAATGGTTAGGGAAGTTATATTAAAGTCAATAAAAGGTGAAATTAATACTTCATTCAAGTGGATCGGCAAAGAAACAAATAATGATGTCGTACCTCGTTTGGTTGTCATTGGATAACTCTTCATAAAATGAAAAAAACAAAAGAAAAAGGTGATGGAAAGTATTATCGTACCCCAGTTTGGTTCTTCGTATGGTGCATGTGGCGGCGGGTAGTAGTGCTCGGGCGGCGGCGGCCCTCCGAAGTAGTCCGGCGGCGGGCCGGGCATATCTCGCCCATGCCCGCCGCGACCGTACTCGCGCCGCTCCGCCGTCATCACCTTCGAACGTCAAACATGAAATGCACAAATTGCGTTGTACGCCTTCCCAGAAGCTTTACTTCAAACTCATTCAAATGAACAAGTGTCAATATTTCTCCTACAGTTTATTTCAAATCTGTTTTTCGTAATCCAATTTTGTTACACATAGTTATTACAATAATACAGAGCTTTTGGGTTCAGTTCTTTTCAGAAATTCATCCAGATTAGTAAACAACCAGCAATTACAAAAGTAAAGCCCTGTATGCAATGAATTGCAAATTCAATAAACACACTTTTCTTTCATTTATACATTTTATTGCCCATGCAAGAAGTATATGCAAAGCAACTTTTAAAATAATTTTGTAAAAAAACTCACGCGCCGTCGTTGTTGATGACGCTGTTACGACATTCAGTTTGGCTTAAAAATATTGTAACAGAAAATTAATACAGAGTTCAAAGTAAAATCTGCTTACTTGGATTGTGTTCTCTCTCGCCTGGTAGTTATTCACTGGCGGTGGAGGCATTCCCTCATCATTTCTGATGGGACCTACATTAATAAAATTTAAATTAGCCGGGGAAAAAATGTTTTTTAATAGTAATCATTTCTTCTAACTTGACTGGTATGATTTTTCACAGCATGTGTCTAAGGATTTTTATGTCAGTCTGATTAGTTCAAAATGAGATCAAACCTGGTGGTCTTCGTAGATCAGGTGCAGGTGCACGTGGTGGTGGGCCGACATGGAGCCCCACGCCCGCCTCGGTTACACGCATGCGGCGCTGACGTTCACAGTATGCACTCCAGGTAACCTCATTAAAACCATAATTGAAGTAATCTGGCAAAATACCAAATAAATTCAGGCTCTACTCTGCGAAAATCCATGTTAATAAAAATGAAAATTACTTTCCTACTCTGTGAACACACTTAATGTAAGTTAAATCATGCAAAAATAGCTGTGCTTTCCCTACCCTTTCTGCATAAAATTATTCAAATTACACTAACACAAGCGCAACTACAGTCACAAACACCACCACCAAAAAATTTTCCCCATATGTGTTTCGGCCCAGGTTCAACCAATCGCCAACTTCTTGATTACATTTATAAATTTTACATCAGGCAGGCTATTTAAGGTGATGAATTTCCCACTCTTCATAGTTGCTTATTGTAATACAATGTACTATATAAATTTAATACATCTTTACTAAATGCATAAGCAAAACATGTAACTTAATACAAAGATCGAACACCTAGGAAAAATTTCTTCGATCTGGCCGAATTCGAACCAACTTCTCCTAGCAAACCGTGTTAGATGTCCCTTTTGAGAATTTTGACCCTTTTTTAAAATATTTTTGTAGTTTGATTTTGTCACTTGTTTCCAGTAGATCAGATCTAAATAAACACTTTTTATTCATGTTATTTTTTCGTCTATGGCCTATAATTATTGACAAAATTGACAGGTTTTTTGTTGAGTTCAGCACAGAAAAATGGAAAGTTTAAATTTTGATATTATTTTTTAATCTTATATTTAACAAGACCTGTAACACTCGGGTGTCAATGTCGGCCTTGTGATGTTAATCCCTGTGGATTATTCTACTCTAACGTGTCGCCTCATAGTGAAACGCAAGACCTTACATATGAGTATAACAATAATTTTTTTTATGAATGCTTGTTTTCAGTAGGTTAGACCTAGATAAACAGTTTTTCTTCTCGAGTTCTTAGGTTTTCGCGATTGTTACACATAGGAAATGAAACTATTTTTCCGGATTTAAATCGCGTATATTTGTTTTTT